ATATACCCTTTATTGTTACAGCTGTTGTGGTGGATCACTACAGCTCTTCTGGCATTTATTATATAATGTTACAAACCCCCCAAACTAGTGATAATACTCTGCTATTTGCTTGTAAACAGCATGTTCTGGGAGTTTATAAAAATAGTGTAAATGATGCCTTGGAGGGCTAGCTGGTCTGCTGAATTTTTATTAACCAGAATGAAACCAAAGATCACTCTAAGCTGTACTTTGTGTTTATAATTTACAGGTCTGATCTACTTGTCCTTTAATAATACAACTGCTCTAGTTGTGATAAAACAGCCCTATGTCAAGCCCAAATAAACACAGAAGAAAGCAGTGATTGGGAAAAGAGAGCTCATAGGAAAAAAAAAAAAAAAGAAAAAAAAAAGTTCCACATTGTTATGGAAAAGTTCAAGTAATATTTAAGGTTGTAGGCCTTATGCTTATCTTTTTTTTTTCTTTTTCCTTCAAGATGAATGGAGTTTGGTAGTGAAAGAAAGAAATGTATTTCAGTGTATACACTGAAATTTAAGTCTTGCAAGTTGTGCAATGACCAAGTGCAAAGGCCTGAGCTTAAAAAACCAGCTCCCAAACCAATGGGGAAAGACAAGTGTGTGGGACAGGCCCCAGTTATGCTTCTGGCTGTTTTCCTTTCCCAGTGTTGCTGTTTTTACAGCAATCAGACCCAAGGCTGTGCAGCTCTGCTACATCTGAGCTGATCTTGCACATGGGAGGGGTGCAGGTTGCAGAGCCTGTCAATGCACTTCACCTTGGCAAAATGTTATCAGGATGGTCCGGTTTGTTCCTGCAGCTTTTGTGTGGTTCCCCAAGAGCCTGTGCAGCTCTCTGTCAGCCCTGCTGTTCTACAGCTGTGCAGGGGCTGCCAGGCAGTTTGTGCTTCCCTGGAAAGCAGCTGTGGGCTATGGAACCACAGGACAAGGTGGCAGCTTTCTTTAGCCCTAGGGCTGCCAAAAGAAAAGAGATCTCACTATTCCAGATGTCTGTGATTGCTGGTCTTTTGACCACACATTAGAGGATAATGCTCAGAAAATACACCTAGCACCCAGCCTTGGGAAAAGGCTTCTAAGACAGGAATAGCAAATCCTTAGAAAGTCCAGTACTAGAAGTGGGAATGAGGTTATTCACCAAAGGACAGATTTTAATGGATGTGAATGTTGTGCTTTGTCTTCCAAACCCCTCAGAAAGTGCCATAGTAGAAAAAAAGATTCCTGCTTCTTTCTGAGCTGGAGCAACAAAAATATGTCAAGTCTCCCACAGCCCCCTGGGATCATCAGCCTGTTCAGGAAGTGCTGAATGATAAAAACAAGTGTTTTATTTATGGAAGCCTCAGCTTAATTTTTATTCCAGTATATCAGTGCTGCAAGGTACTCCAGAAGAAGCACCTTGATTTGCTCTAACCTTATTCACACAGAACAAAAATTCCTGGAAAATGCTTTTTTGACAGCTGCACCCAGAGAGACTGCAAAAGGTGAGTGCAGTAATGTCCCAGCTGGAGGAGTAGAGTATTTCTGTGGGAACAGCCTCTGAGGAACATGGAAGGTCTTATCAGCTCTATTGTGCAATCTGAGTGGAGATTTGTGGTAAAGCCCATGGCCACAGTGCTGAGAGAGGCAGGAACTCTGAAAACTTACTGGTTCTTGTCATCAGCCAGTCCAAACTTCAGGCCTGAATTACACCTTGCTGCTGAAATGACAGCCTGGAGGGCCAGCTAACTCCAACAACTATTTTCTGCTTTCCCTTTTACAGTTTTGGCTTCTTTTTTTTTTTTTTTTTCCCCTTAAACAATATCTGTTGTAAAAAGAGCTGTTGAGCCTTTGTAATATTTGTCTGACCCCTTCATGTGTGGTAAAAGCCAATACTGCTAAACATTTCATCACTAAATAGTTTTCAAAGTCTCCTTTGGTTATCACACTCTTAAGAGGTGTCCTCTGATAACTTTTTCTTTTCCAAACTGTCTCCAAAACTCAGCCTCCCACAGCCTCAGTGAGCTGGAGTTTGGTGCTCAGGGCTGGCACAAAGAGCTCTCACAAAGGCACAGCTGGAGCAAGTGTGATATCTACAACAACACAGCAAGGCACACTGTGGGCCATGGAATATCATCCTATTGCAGAGTTTAAATTTCTGCTGAAGAGCCACAGCTTCTGTCAGCCATGGAGGTTGTTTCAGCTTGATGTGATAAAGACATATTTAAAAATCTTTTTGTCCTAACTGGGTATCCTTTGAGGACTTTTTTTTTTTTTTTTTTGTAGTAAAAAGGTTTTTAAATGTCTTGGAATCTTTGTTTCCTGTTTTGTCTTGTAAAGTAAGTCTGGGCATATTAAAGGCATAGTTAACTTTGTCCCTGTTACTACATTTAATAACTTAAAACCCCCTATGCAGGTGGAGAACAGTTGTAAACCCAACTCTGCATTCCCCCTTAGAAACAAACAGCTCATTTTTGTTTAAAATGTGTGTGTGCAGCTGTGGAGAGCAGCGACACAGCCCTGTGAGCACGACAGCTGTTAGCATGGAATCACAGACTGGTTTGGGTTGAAAGGTACCTTAGAGCTCATCTCATTCCGTGCCCTGCCATGGCCAGGGACACCTTCCACTAGACCAGGTTGCTCCAAGCCCTGTCCAACCTGCCCTTGAAGGATTTTTTCCTTACTGAGGCTTTACTCTTCTCCTTGGCTTCTTGAAACCCAGGATTACCCCTCTGAAACTCCCCACTGCATCAAGCCTGGTCTGTATTTATGTCTATTTTAGCATCCAGTCCTGCAAACACAAAGCCATGGACAACTTTGCGCACACAAAGCTGGTCTGCCAGATATGTTAGCAATGTACAAACTCACAGCATTTCCCACTGAGTGGCTTGTCTGTTCAGTATTTATCTCACTCTGTGCCACACTGGGAATTTAAGATCTAAATTGTCTTAAACAAAAGTTGCCATTTCAGAAGTAGGACCTCGACTTTTCCCTGTCAGAACAAAATATGTTGGTTATTTTTAATAATACAAGCCTTTCTCATGACTTTTGAGCTCTGTTAATTGCATGGTTTCAAAGCAACACCTCCTGGCGAGCCGTGGTATTGCTTGTGCAGGAAGAGATCTTCCTTGTGGGATGATACACACAAAGCAGGAATGCTGTGGAGTGATAGAGTCACAGGATGGTTCGAGCTGGAAGGCACCTCAAAGCCCATCTCATTCCAACCCCCCTGCCATGGGCAGGGACACTTTCCACTAGCCCAGGTTGCTCCATGCCCCATCCAACCTGACCTTGGACAATTCCAGAGACAGGGCAGCCACAGCTTCTCTGGGAAACTGTTCCCAGACTATCAGTGACCTGCAGCAAAAACCTTTCCTTGCTTAGTGTGCAAATCAGGGTGTGATGAATGTGGCTGTTCCAGCTTCTGCTGGGGGAGAAATAAAAGTTGGGAGCATGATCCAGAATTCTTTAAAATGAGAGCACACGTAAGCTCTCACTTAGTGCTGTCTGACATGTATTGCTGTGCTTTGCCTTTGTGTGTGTGTGTGTTTATATCACAGGTGCTGGTTTACATTGGACAATGTCACCACAAGCCATGGTGCAGGACTTTATCCATAAAAAAGCAAAGCAGCAAAGGATGCTTGATGTCATGTTTATAAATGGTGAATGCTAGTGCTCATCTTTGCCCTATTAATTTGCTCTCTTTTCCCTATCCCACCATAAAACTGTCTCTTTAAGCAGAAAATAGAAGTGTGAAGGGAAATTCGGAGCAGTTTCAGAAAAATTCCTTAGTGCTCCAAGGATCCCATTCCCTGAATGCTAAATCAACGTGGGTTTCCTTAGGAGCAACCAAGAATACTACAGAAGACTTGGGAACACCACAGGACAAAGAACAAGGTGACAGTGCCCTTGCTCTCAGCATTTCACGTGGTTCAAGGTGCTGTTGCGCTGTACTGACATCCCGTGGAACAATCCAACACCCTGGAACAACACGAGGAGCTGGACTGAAAGGCAGTAGGTGATGGCTGCAGAAGGCTGTGACCTAAATTTTCATATGCTTATAATAAAACCAACACAAGTGGCTGTAGAGAGATATTTCTGGAAGGAAACAGTAACATTGTCAATGAAAAAAGATACATGTAATCATGAATCAAAAAGATACATGTAATCAATATGTTTTTCTGTACTCCTTTCCAGATTCGTTGATGTAGCACTAAAGAAACTCTTTTGTGTCCAGCAGTAAACTACAGTGTTAAAAGTGCTGGTCAAAGCTTCACATCTTAATATCTAGTTTGGCCAGGCAAGGCTGTAACCGGGTGGTGCGAGAACTGGCAGGTAATATTAGAATACTGCAGCTGCTATCACCAAAACAGGGTAAACCTCAGATACCGTGTCGTAGTTTGGCCGCCCTTATCGCACTCAGCCACGAGTCCGGTGCTGGTCTGTCCGTGCCGGCCCACGCAGGTGATGCTGTCCCAATTCTCGGCAGCCTGCCCGGGCCAGCTGGCATTCCTGCACACATCCCGCCCGGCCTCCGGCCGTACGCGCGGTGCCCTGCCCCTCACGGGCACGGCCCGAGGCGCTATGGCTCCGGCCGTACGCGCGGTGCCCTGCCCCTCACGGGCACGGCCCGAGGCGCTATGGCTCCGGCCGTACGCGCGGGGCCCGGCCCCTCACGGGCACGGCCCGAGGCCGCCTCACGCCTTCCCGCCCAAAACCCCTGCGCGCGCCGCCGCGGGCCACGCCCATACGTCATTAGACCACGCCCATGCAGTACTAGATCACGCCCTCGTGCACGGACACCCCTGCCCTCAGACCCCGCCCACTCCCCTCATACCCACGCCTCCGACGCTCTCGCCCTCCATCAGACCCCGCCCACGCCCCTCAGGCCCCTCCCGTGCTCCTGCAGCTCTTGGCCACGCCCCGTCACCCCACCCACACCCCTCAGGCCCCGCCCCCGGTTTAAAGCCCACGCGCAGCCGGCGCGCTGCCGGAGGTGACGTTGCGGGTCCGGCGCGGGGCGGAGCCGGCTGGGGACGCGGAGCTGCGGGAGCGGGCTGCGCAGGGAACGGGAGCTCGGGGTACGGGCTGCGCTGGGAACGGGAGCTCGGGGTAAGGGCTGCGCTGGGAACGGGAGCTCGGGGTACGGGCTGCGCTGGGAACGGGAGCTCGGGGTACGGGCTGCGCTGGGAACGGGAGCTCGGGGTACGGGCTGCGCTGGGAACGGGAGCTCGGGGTACGGGCTGCGCTGGGAACGGGAGCTCGGGGTAAGGGCTGCGCAGGGAACGGGAGCTCGGGGTACGGGCTGCGCAGGGAACGGGAGCTCGGGGTACGGGCTGCGCAGGGAACGGAGGGTGCAGAGAGCGCGATGCTTAGGGAGCACCGTGTCCGAGTGAGGGAGCGCTGAGGGAATGATGTGCCCCAGGTACGGGGTGCTCAGGGAATGCGGTGTGCGGGTGACCGGAGTGCTCAGGGGTACGGGATGCTCGGGGAATGGCAGAGCAGCTGTGGCTACTCCAGCCATGGAAGTGTCCGAGGCCAGGTTGGATGGGGCTTGGAGCAACCTGGGATAGTGGAAAGTGTCCCTACCCATGGCTGAGGCTGGAATGAGGTGAGCTTTAAAAATCCAATCCAAACCATTCCTCTTTTTTCCTTGTAGGGAAGGGCACTGCCCTGGGCATAAGCTCGTACTGTGCCTCATTTTTGCTAAATGGATGGCAATTGGGTGTAACACCTGCAGGTGTATTGCAATGGAAATAAAACCTTTAGGTTAAACAGACAGGAGCCTGCCTTCTCTCTCCTTTGAGTCCTGTGGGAATTTTGCAGCTGGAAAGTGCTGAGACCTTGCTGTGACTTCACTTGCAGTTGTTCTTTTAACCTGTAGTTTTACTGCTTCAGGGGTAGGTTGTTCTTATTCTTGTTCTACTGATTTAATTCTTGAAGCAGAGCAGAAAAATAAAGGTAAATACTTTCTGCATTCACTCCAAGATGGAGTGGAGTCGTGATCTGATTGCTCCAAGGGGGCGTTTGAGGTGTGAAAGCTTGCATTTTTGTGGTAATTGTATGGATCTGGAAGCATGGAGTTTCAGGAACAGGTTTGATATTATATTACTGCTGGAAAGGGGAGCCCTGTGCACTTTTTTCCATCCCTCTGCTTGTCTGTTTTCGTTGCTCCTCAAGTGCAGGTGTGAGTGGTGGTGTGGTGGGCTGGATTCACGTGCCAAACCCAGTGGCAATTGGCACCACATGGAAATTGAATCCATGGAGCTGTGTGTCTGTGCATCCAACAGGGAGAGGCAGCCCACCCATTAGGCAGTGACAGGGATCAAAACCAGTTAAGCTGCTCCTGAACATGTTCCTTGAGGCTACAATTTGGTGGACAGTCCTGGTGTTTGTGATTTGGCTTTTTGGTGGTGTTTGTTGTTTTGTTTTGGATTTTTTTGGGATGAAAGCTGTGCATCACTCCTTATTTCCAGATGTTCCTAATATCCTCAGCCTCTTTCTTCCACTCTTTCCCAGCAGAAATATTTTTGTTTCCTGACAAAGTTTCCTTTTGGGTGCTGACCCAACTGGTGCCTGTGAAGGGTTAGAAATACAGAACTGGGGCATTTTTGGAATGCTGTCTGTGGTGATTTTCACCGGTAATTCCACGGGAATCGTTGCTACAACAGATGTTCTGGTTTAGAGAACAAAAACAGTTTTTGCTAAATGTAAAGGTGGGAGTGCTAACAACAAACAAAGAAATCACAGAGAACAGGTGGATAAAGAATTGAAACAGATGTAGGAAAGAAGGAATTATTCTCAGTTGCTCACTTTTGGCCTAAATTGTATGTTAACAGCTGTTTCTCACAGCAGAAAGCTCTCCAAAAAGATAAAAGGTGAGACTATTGGCAAAAAGCTATATCAGCTGCATGCAGAGAATTTTTTTTTACTATAAGCAGTTTTATTACCCTCATTAAGACTAGGAACAATTAACCTGGAAAAAAATCATTTTTGTTTATTGTGTTGTTTTAAGGTCTGTGTTAGTACAGCAGGTCATAATTAGTGGAGAATAAATGCTTCTCCTTGTAATGTGCAAGACATGTATAAGCCTTTGTGACATGGATTAATGGCTTATTTGCAATGTTAAAATACTACTTCTGGGACAAATGCTGAGTTTCCAGACCTTGGTGCAGTTTGATTTTAAATGCTTTTTGCTGTGTGGCTCTTGCCCCTGCCTTGAACCTGCCCTGCAGTGTACACCTCCCATTGTTTAGATCTCCTTTCCTGGAAGCATTTTCCCTTAGTTCCCTTATTAAAATTACTTATGCTGACTCTAACTGCTCTCCCTGTAGAATTTTTCTTTGCAAGTTCTCATGAAGAATATAACTTACAATTTTTTTTTGTTAGAAATGGCAGCATAAGTTTTAATAAATTACTGTATCCAGTATTCCAGGTGGGTCTCAGCAGTGCAGAGCTCAAGTTAAATATTGACTTGTGTAGAACTTTGGTCTTGAGCAATCCGTGCTGAAACTGCAGCTGGGAGAAAGGTGTTGTGGCAAAGATAATCACTTTAAACCACCCCCTGCCAAACTGAAGCCAATCTGGCTGTGGAGAGTGGTCCCAGAGGAGGCTCAGAAACCCCCCACAGTGTCCCCATGTCCAGGGCTGGGAGTCTGCATGATGTCAGGGGACAACCACATCTGTACCTGGTGGTATTGACAGCCCCAGGGTGTCTCTCTGTAGTGAAATTACCGGAATTTGGGGTCTCCTGGTGGTGCCATGTCTGGCGGTCTGTTCTAATCTTGCTCTTTTTTGTATTTAACCATCCCTTGAGCTGGAGGGAATATTGTGTGCCAGGAGCCCAGCTGGTAGGAGGTCTCTGCTCTGGGACCGTGGCTCCTGCTACAGAAGGCTCTTTGTGCTTTATTGACACGTGATCCCTAGGAAAAAAAATAAACATTTCTCATTCTTGCAGAGATTTGCTCTCAGATATGAACTAAGCAATAACTGTTTCAGCACTTTCAGCCTGCTCCATCCATCTTTCCTTGTCTTGTGGGCTTTTTTACAAAGTCTAAAATCTGCTTGCTGAACTTCATTGGAAATAGAATTCCTCTGGGACTGACAAGATAAATTTTGTTCTTGGTGATGTGGCATGTATCGTTCTTGACTGCTTTGCTGTGGGGAGCTCAGAAAGTGACACAGAGCTGTATATTAAAGAAAACTAATTTTTCTCTAGCTAAGAGGCTTTATAAGAGGTGGTAGGCATCTTAGATTTTATTTGCTTGTGGGGAACAGGAATCTCAAACTAATCAGAAGGTTTTAGCAAAAAAAAGAACATCCAGTCATCTATGGTGCTTTAGGTAAAAGAATTTTGCTATCCTTTAATAGTAAAATATTTTGAGTTGTTTATACCTGGGGGAATAAGATATTATATATCTGTGGTAAGTCTGTTTTCTGTCAGAATCTGGTTCTAGGAAGATTTTCCTCCTGTGTTATTGGAAGAAGGTTGGGTATGTCAAGTGCCAACTTTGTTTACTATAAACTGAGGTTTCGATGGAAAAAACATTTTGCTTTAGATACAGGATTGGATTGATGACTCCTGCTTTTTAACTTTATATTTTTGAAACCATTTCCTTAAGTGTGATGGGTGTGAACTGAAGAACCTGTAGAGTAAAAAGTGACTCGAGTTTTTAGCATTCCTGTCAACTTTCTCCACTCTGTGAATGCAGTGTAGCAGAGTGACTCACTGCCAGGTGTGTGGCACGGATGTGTGCCTGTCTGGTGTGACTGAGGTCAAGGTTTAGGCTGAGCTCCAGATGGTGGCCAGAGGATTACTTTGAGAGCTAATTACAAGGCTTCTTTGTGTAAGTCTGAATAGTTACATCACAAAGATATTCTTTAATGATTCATCAGGCAGTTTAGTGGGGGAATATCCCACACGTTCTTAACTTTCTGATGAGGTGTGTTTTGCCCTTAGCCTGCCTGGCTCATGTTGAGTGTACCCCAGCACTTGCAGGCTGTTTTAATGGGCATTCACTTGCTGACTCTGCCAGTGGGATCTCTGGCATCTCTGAACTCTGGATGTCTCTTTTTCTCTGCATGTGTGGCCTACATTTCTCCTCGCATGCACCTCTGGAGCAGGCGAGCTGCTGTGGTGTGGGCTGTGAGCAAAGGCCTCTGCCTGTGGTTTACTCAGGTGTGGACTCCTTGAGTGAGCAGAGGCTATTTTTGGAGTGCCCTCAGGGAGAAGGTGGTCAGGAATCCAACCTTGGAGCCGAGCAGAGGGGAGTGCAGCAGTGTCAGCTTTGGTCACTGTGCTGGGTCAGCTGCTGCTGGTGGTTCTGTCACAGAGGATCCTGTCTCCTGCAGAAGGGTGGTAGCGAGGTCACCCAACAGCAAAGTGCTGAGAAAACATTCATTTTACTCCCTTGGTTTGTTGCTGTTGCCAGGAAACACCTTGTCTGCATTTCAGAGACTTGTGAGTTTTGGTTGCTTCTATCTTAGCTCTACAGATCTGCCCTACAACTCATGGATAGAGGGCATTATCCCCAGCATCCATATCTCCAGATCAGTGTGCCAGTCTGTCTTGTGAGGTTCCATTTTCACTCTTAGCTGGTGCCACTACAGTTGTGACCTCTGGCCTGTGGCATGATGGCTCAGTGCTAAGGGGGATGAAATTTCCTTGCAATGTTATCCTTCCCTGTGTCTGGGCTACTCAGGTATCCCTCCAAGAGGAGTTTCCCACTGATGCTGTGTACCCAGTGCTGCTGCTGCCTTCAGGTCAGTCTGACACCTCCATGGTGGTGGAGGAAACAGAGTGCTGGGCTCTCATGCTGGTGGTGCCATGGACCTCAGCAGGTGGCAGATGGATGGCTGAGTTTTCATAGAATCATGTTTTCTACCTGCTTTCCTTAGAACCTGGACACTAAAGTTCACCATGTTGCTTGGTGGCATTGGGACACTACTTTGGGAATAGGAATGTTTAGCAGTTGCTTTAGCTGTAGGGTTGCTGGAAGGACTCCTGTGTCCCTGGGCACAGGTCCGTGTGTCATATACCTGACACAGAGCACTGTGGCCTTCCTGCCTCCCTTACAAACAGAGCTCTTCTTTAATGGGTTATTTACATTCCCCAAGGCGCAGTGTCCTGTAGTTCCAAAGTGCTTGTCTGTCTGTACTGGGAATAAATACTGATGCTGGTTAACTGATTTAGTGTGTTCTCATGGGTAGAGGTTCCTCCTGCAGCCTGGTGGGCAGAACAAGGGTGCTGGCTGTAAGCTACAAGTATTATTTTTGTGTTCAGTCATCCATTGCATGTTCCTGCGGGCAGGAGCTCTCTGGGCAGAGATAATCCAAACTGTTGATGTGCTCTGTGTAGTGCAATCAAGTTGAGGAGCTCAATGGACTGACCAGATGGGCAGTTGACAGAGCACATACCTGTGCAGAAGCTTGCTAGTGCTCAGAGCTTTAGGGAGTGTTTGCACAGTCATTTTTCCCTGTGTCTAGGGCCAGAGTGTACTGTCTGCAACAGAAAGTCATCATGATGTCTCTTTAGAGGTAAAAGGATTTGTATGGGTTTTCCTTTGCTTTGTCAGGGAATAGCTGACCTTGGTGCCAGCCATGAGCTGGCTGCTTTTCTGTGTTTCTGAACACACTGAAGCAGCAAAGATCAGTCCCCAGTGAGCAGGACCCTTTTCAGAACCCAGATTACCTTGAAGTCCCTCTTTGCCTTAATTTCCAAAATAATTCTCTTCTCCTTTAAAAAACCAAACCTAAGCCTTGGCTTCCTGGTTCATGGAGTGGGAGGCTATTGTGTGCCTGACCTCAACCTGGCTGCTGCTCAAGGTTCTGCAACATGTGATGCCTGGTGTTGCATCAGGTGATGGATGGGGGATTTTGTTCATCCCTCTTGGCCAAGGCATCCTTGAACCTTCTATTTTGAGAGGCCCATATGGTTGCAGGACTGAAGGAAACACAAACTTTAGTGTTGCATCCCATGTGCTGGTTCTGGGAGGCTGTTGACAATTACAAGAGCCCTCGCTTCTCCAGACTGTCACTGGAACCAGGAAAGGTGGTGGTAAAGAAACTGCTCAGCCTCTTTGAGCTCAATGAGCTCAGTGTTTTCTTTGGAGGTCACTTCATACTCCTTCATTTCCCTTCTTCCCCTATAAATCATGCGTTTTCCAAGGTTGTTCCCCAAGATTTAATTTCCTTCTTTTTGCTGAAACCTCACATCTCCAAGAAGGTGGTGCTAGACCACACTTATTTTTCCATAATTAGAGGATTAAATCTTCCAGACATTCTTTGAAGCCATTGAAAGAGCAAGGCTATTGCACCTGGAGGTACATTAGGGACTCTTAGGGGCTTGTTTATTCCCTGTGTGATGAGTGATACTTCTTGTCCTCCTTTCTCTCGGGTAACTCAGATTATGCTGATAGCATTAGTGAAGAACGATTCCAAGTCTGATGTCACTCTACAGCAAAACCTTGGAGGTTTGTTGAGACACTCACCAGGCACTGGGACTTTGCAGAGTAACCCAGGAATGAAACTGCATTTTGTGGAGGAAAATGTACTGAGAGTGGTGTGAGGGACTGATGCTTGTGCTTGAGAGAGCTGAAAGAAGGAGCTGCAAGCAGAGCTCTACACACACCTGCATGTGTGGAGTCACCTGAAGTTCAGGAGAGCAGCTTTTTAAGCACTTTTCTTTAATCCCTGTTGTCTGTATGACACTCTGCTCTTCCTTTTGTAGTTCTTCCAGCAGCAAGTTGACAAGGACTGTGAACTTGGGATATGTGTAAAACCTCTATACCTGTGAGCTTGCAAAGAGTCATGGGACTTGTCCTGCAGGTATTCCCAAAAGGAGAAAAACCCTTGGGGATACTTTGCATCTCCAGCAGTGAAGTGTGAAAGTGGAAGTGGACAGTAGATACTGAGCTGTAATTATTGGGAAGCAGGAGTCTTTTCTAGGCTAGTGGGAATGTTCAGAGTGTGACCTGAGTAATCTGAAAGAGTTGAAGGGTTTCACTGCCTTGAGCAACTTTGTGACCCTTAGACAGATGCTTCCAAAAGGAACAACATTGATAACGGGAACTGTGGGATGCGCCACGCTGAAATTTTATCTGCCTAAGTAGCTGCTAGTCCAATTCCATTAATGTTTGCATATTTAATAAACTTCTAATGTGGGATTTTAATGAGTTGGCAGTTATCTCTGAACACCCAGCAGCAGCAGCAGTCTCAGAGCTTAGGTGGCTCTCAAATGGAGATTTCTCTCACTTAGAAGGCATGTGGCCTTTCCTTGAGCAGTCAGCACTTGGCAGGCTCTGGAATACTTTGATTTGGTCTGTATTGATGTACATCAACAGTGAATTTTTAATTTGGATGGAGCCCTAGGGTTAAGTTTTTGGGGGAGGCATCGTTTTAGAAAGCTGGATGTAAGAGAAGTGACCTTGGTTAATCTCATAACACACCATGTAGCTACTCAGGATGTTTCTTGCTAGTGATCTAATTATTTTGGCTGTGAAATGGAACTGTCAGGGAAATTGCTTCTAATGTGGCATTTACTCATTTACACTCCCAGTGCTTTTGCTTTGCCTTTTCAGCCTAATTTTGCAAACATATGTCCAACTCCTCCTAGTCCCAAGCAGGGTAAGAAGTGCCCTGGTTGTGCTGCACAGTTGATGTCTATGGTGAGGAGAAGGAAGGTAATCTGTTATTGAGGGAATTGTAGCAAAATTCAGCAGAACAGTTCCGTGTTTATGCTTCAGAGATAAACCTGAGTTTAGTAAATATGTGTCAGTATGTCAAATGTAGCAGGCAAGGTGAAAAGGGACTTTTGATAACACAGTGTAATTCTCCGTTCAGGCACCAGCATGACTTTAAGGAAGTCCCTTGCGTGTTCCCAGTCTTCAGGATGAATTCTCAGTACGCTGCTGTGGATGGTAGTTGTGTAAGCTGTGAAGGTGGCCAGGGTGAGGAAATAATTCCTTACAGCCTCCTTTAAGATAAGACAACAGTAATTCAGTGACTGGATCATCAGATGGGTTTCAGGTGATCTTTCAGTGGGCTTGGTAAAAGCAGGAAAAATTTAATGTTTATCTGAGCTGTATTTTAAATTGAAGTTCTTTTTATATCTCCAGAACACCATTTTGGGAGGAACAGCAAAGAGAGTTAAGGGCAAAAACTGATGGACCGTTACATCTTCCGAAATGAGCCATTTCACACTTTCCTACTGGAAAATAACATGTCCTGAAGGTGAGTAGGTTTTGTATGTGACAGATGAGCTGCCTGATGTCTTGGGCCTTGACCAAAGGCAGATCCACCCTCATTCCAGCTTGGCCTGACACGGCCTGTCTGCACAACCCATGGAAACTTGCTTGTGAAAATGTGTATTTTATCACCAAGTGAAACAGGGAGGAAGCAAGGAATATTTTCCACTAGTGAATTCTCATTGATTTAGAAGCCTTTGAAAAAGCTGGAGTGCTTAGTGAAAGAGGTGAACCATTGGGGACACGGATATTTTCTGGTGAGTGGAGAAAATGTAGGTGTTTTATTTGCAACATGAGAAAGTTAAGCTTGTAAGACAAACTTTGGTTTAGTTTGGCAAGGGTATTAAATTACATAAGGCATTTTCAAGTTTTATTCCGACTGTACCTCAAATGATATTTTCAGTGTTCAGAAGAGCTGAAGAAGAGTGCTTGCTATCAAAGATGATAAAGTAATTTCCCCAAAGTAAAGAACATAATGCTTGAATGAAATTAAATCAGAATTGTATTTTGTAGAGTTTGTGATATCTTTTATGTTATTTTTGTACTCAGCCCCTTAGGGCTGTAGGCAGTGACCGTACAGTTTTGTTTTAAAATCCTTTAGCAACAGAAATCAAAATGGGAAAATGGGAAGTGTTACATAAGTCCTGCACTCAACATTGAAATAAAACCAGCATTTCTGAGACAGTTAAGGTTTAAAATATCTTGCTTTAGTCTTTACTCTCACTTCAATAAATAACATATAAAAAGAAGCCATAAGCTATGTAGGCCTAAGTTTGCCCACTTAGCAGCATTAATTCTTTTTTTTTTTTTTAAATTAGGCTAATACATTTGCCTTTCTGATGGCTACTTTGTTAATATTTTTGTTTTTCTGTTTTTTGGCATGAGTCAACTAGCAGCTCTGAACTCAAAGACAATAGTGGAGTGTAAAGGGTGAAAAATAGGTGGTGTCAGTTGTCATTCTGCCTGCACAGAAATTGCTTGAAAATATTCAGCACTGGTGTCACAGGCGTTTTGTACAGAAATGTTTTTCCATGTGAGGTAAAAATCCCAGTAGAAGTTCAGCCTAGAGTGAACTCTTCATGTGCTTTTATAGATTTGAAGCTCATTAGACATCTGAGTTCCTTGAACATTTGTATATTTGGTAGAGGAGAACCTCTCAGGAATGTAGGACTTGACAGGTACAAGAGGATGCAGTGTCAGGGATTTTACTTGTTGAGGAAGAAAAGTCTTGTAGCTGGAGAAAAAAATACTGTTCACATTCATTGGTGCTCTTTGGTGTCTGGTATGATCTGCACAGTTCTGCATAAAAGGCTGGAAGCCTGATAGCCCCAAAGCAAAAGGTGAGACTGAGTTCTAAAAGCTCTCGTCTTTCCTAAGTGCTTGTGTTTTCCAAGTGTCCTCTTCAGCTGTTATCTGAGAGCCTTTTGCCAAAAACCCTGTAAAGCTAGGGAGTCTCACTGGGGAGTACCATTTCTGGTGTAGTCTGCGTTTTGCTGTTTGTGGATGAGCAAAAGTACATCCTCTGCCTTTTGCTTTCTCCTTTCCCAGTCTGTAAAGAGTGTGACTTTTCTCTGTGCAGAAAGATTGTGCAACAGAGTGAAGAGTGAAAAGATATTTTTTGCTGTTCTAAGGCTTCTTTGTTCTCAGAGGTCAGGAGGGGCTGAGCTCCAATGATTTCATACACTCTCCTATTACCTGTTCTCATGCTGGCCATAAGCCTAAAGGGACAGATCCTCCTCTGGATGAGTCATTAAGTAAATACCAGGCTGTGCTGGTATTCCTGCTCTGAGTACTTGTTCTTATTTCTTGTGTGTTGTTTACTCGCTGTTTTCTTAGCTGCTATCACAACCCCAGCAGATTTTGTCAGCACAGGGACTTCTCACGGTGTGCAGCTGGGGAGAGGCACCTGCACTGGAGCCAGGAGCTGTTCCAGCCTTGTTCGAGGAGGGATTTTCAATAGTAGCTGGGAAATACTTGGAGATATTTCCAGTAAAACAGTTCTGGTTCTTGGCTCTTGATCACAGGCACCTTGCCAGGTGGCCTGTGGGCTGGATGTGGTGCTTGTTCCAGCTGCATCCCTCCTGCAGGACAGGGCATGGGAAGGAAGTGCATCCCATGGGGGCAGTGGAGCACACAGTGTTCAGAGCTGTCACTGGAGCCTTCAGCAGTTTGCTGCTGCAGGGAGGGCTGGAGCTCTGGGAGCTGTGCTTCTCCAGCAGCTGCTGCAGCCAGAGGTGGCTCAGGAATGATTGTAGAATCCTACAACCATGAAGTGGTTTGTGTTGGAAGGGACCTTAAAGCTCATCCACTTCCACCTCCCTGCCAGTCACTAGATCAGGTTGCTCAGGGCCCATCCAGCCTGACCTTGAACAACTGCAGGGGTGTGGAAGCCACAACCTCTCTGGGTAACATATGATGACATGGTGCAAATCTCCTGGAGGAGATTTGCAGCTTCCATGGGGACAGGGACAGGGTGGTTCAAGTGTTTGTGCTCACTGGGAAGCTCTACTAGCAAGGGACAAGGGCATGTTATCCATTGGCCCACCCATGCACCATAAGAGTGACTTGCGGTGTGCAAACATTCTGATATTGGATAACCCCTGGGTTTTGTCTGGAGTCTGGATTTGTGTCTGTTTTTCATTTGGAGATTTGCCTGTATCAGGCTGTTATCCTAACTATAAAACCTTGAATAGGTGTAGAGGTTCCTGGGGGGTTCTCTCCTTGCCTGTCTGCCCCAGTATGTCATCACTAATGGCCTTATGGGATTTGAAAATGCCTTGGTGTTTGTGGATGAAATTCTTGTCTCATTAGGCAAAAATATGCCATCAATTTAACCTGCATCCTGACAAAATATGGACAGTTTGAACCTGGGGCAAGAACTGGATGATGCTGCCCAGCCAGAATCAGTTACCATCCTTATTTTCTCTGAGAGAGAGAATGTTTACAGTGCAGCGTGGCTGAGGCTGTTCTGGGGGAGCTGACCAGGCCATTGGAGGTCAGAGCTGTGAGGCAGAGCTGCATCAACTTCTATTTACATCTTTATTCCACTGATACTTCTTTCAGGGCTTTGCTTATTCCTTTCTGCCAAGGGAAGCCCTCCTGGCCACCTCCAAAGACGCTTAAAGAAGTCCAGCTCATGGTGTGGTTCTCTCTCTTTCCTGGGGATCCCGAGGGTTCCATGCTATAAACTGCAAGCCCAGTAGGTGCTGCTGAGCTGTGGCACAGGCAGTGTGAGCAGCCTGAGACACACCAAGTTTCCTATAGGAAGACCCATAAGATTCATCCCCACATTGAATTTACAGCCAGTGTTGTGGATTTGACTTGGCTGCTGGATGTACATGACCTTTCTGGGATGTTTCAGCTGCTGTGCTGGGAACCATTTGTTTTGCTTTAACTGGATGTGAAATATCACCACTGTGGCCTGATGGATCCCCTTAATGGCACAGTGTACAGTCAGCATCAGCCTGGGGTGAGCTGTTTGCCCATTGCACTGTCATTAACTTGGCCTGAACAAAACTATAGGAATTCCTGATCTGGGACCTTTCTGTGCCAGGAGTTGTCTGCAGCCCAGTTGAGTTAGAAAGTGTCAAGATTAAAACCACTGCACATCTTTCTTTTATTAAGATCTGCTGTTAAGAAAATAATTTTTGCTAAGCAGAGAACTTTAGGCTGAGATTTAATGAAGGGAATAAACTGTAAAAACCTGTAATCACATTGGAGGGAAAAGGAGCCATTGTTTCAGATTCCCATGGTGGTTTTTCTAGCTGCCTGAGTAAAACAATTCTCTTTTCAAGATATATTTTTCCTACATTTAAATATTGGGTGGATGCATTTAAAAATGTTTGGTTATGTTCTGATCGTGTGTAACTTTTGGATACTGATTAGTGGATACAGGTGTAGCAATAAAGAAACTGTAAATTTGCCAGGTAGCATTGCTTGTCTGCAGGTCCCCCTTATCAAATAAGATTATATTGTTTCTCAAGCATGTTGCACTTGCCATCTTGAAGCAGAATTACATTTCTGTTAAAATAATGTTTGCTCAGTGCTTCCAGGTAAAGGAGAATTGAGCATTACTGATAAGGACCACAATCCACTTTTATTTAATTCATTAACCACTTGGCTTGGTCTACATTCTCTGTTGCCTGAGCATTGCATATCCTGCTATTTTGGAGTAGCTGTGTTCAGAAAGCTGCTCAGTTTTTTGTATTCTGATGTCTGTTACCACAAATTTTTTTTGCACTGAAATCTAACCACTGTCTTTGAGATTATGCATCTTTTTTAATCTCTACTTTAATCTCTGGTTTTCTTTTTTTGGGTTACACAACAATGACAAAAGCAACCAGTTTATGCTGGGGTCAATTTGTTTATAATAAATTCCTTCTCTCCTTCCTTAAGCCCCAGTGCAAATGAAGAAAGCTGAATTTACTGTCTGTTCTTCGTGCCTTTTTGTCCAGTGCAGAAGAAAATTAAGCTATTTTGACCTTTCTTTGACACTTGTAGTCAGCAAAGATGAGGGCAAAGGCTTTGTAGAAGTAAATGAAGTCAGTATTGTTTTCTTCTAAAATTGTTGTTAGTGCACTCTGGTGTGCTCCATTAAAGTCCCAGCCTGTGAAGGCAAGTGCAGGCAGTCTCAGCTGCTGTTTCATCCACCTTCAAGGGTTTGTCCATCTGTGAAGTGCCCTGTGGCAGAGGTTTGAGGTGCTGGCTCCGAGTGGGTGCCACACACCTTTGGTGAGCTCTGTCCTGCCTTTCTCCTGGCATTGCTGGTGCTGCCAGAGCATCACCTGGGTGGAGTCTGGGCAGGGCTGGCTGAAATCAGGGGCCCTGCCACTGGTACATGACATGGAGCAGAAAAAGGCCTCACAATAAACTGGATGGTTTTGTAGAATCCCAGAATGGTTTGGGTTGGAAGGGACTTTAAAAATCATCTCATTCCACCCCCTGCCATGGACAGGGACACCTTCCACTATCCCAGGTTGCTCCAAG